GTTATAACCCATTCAATGTCTTCGGAAGAGGGCGCTCCTCTGTCGATTGGGTATCCCCTCAGTTGCGTGACCGCTACATTGGATTGTTAGGTCCATGAGTGCACTAAATTCCCCAAGTCGTACACAAATGTGGAAGCACCTTCATCTTACACATGGCCGAAATTGCGCGGGGCGCTTTTTTGCCAACTCCGTACAGTCATGTTTCTCTAACACTGTAAAACCCTCTATTTTTGCTGGCCTGCATTTTCGCGAATCGGGCAGCGGTGTTATATTCACGACCCTTAATTTTCGCTAACTCTAAAGGCTGGAAATCGCCTCCACAGACAATAGAAATATTCGCACCCACTAAAGTTCGCGAATTTCGCTAGTGGCGAAATTCGCGAAAATTAGGGGCTCGCGAACATTAAGGATTTTACAGTATTGACCCCGTTAATAGGGAGTTTTATGGTGGAGGGCGCCAGCGCTTTGCCGATGTTTGTATGTTTGTTAGGTTAGTTTCAAACTGTTTGCGCATACAAAAACGCGCATATATACCTTTTCTTTTACCCTCCTCCCCAGTGAGAGACAGATCACAGATCCAGTACGGGCGATGAAACAAAAACAAAACATTACAACCGCGACTATGTAAAAAAAAAATATATTGTAACAGGCAAAGCAAGAAGGATGGACAGTGGCAATAAAATTTTAACACTGTCATTTGCGTGACGAAGGCAAACGATGCCCCCCCCCCCCCCCCCCCCCCCCCCCCCCGCATACCGAAAGATTTACAATTCAAGAAGGCGACGACAACATAGAAAATATTTATAGGACTGAGCAATGTGTGATACGTTCCCCCTAAACTTCGCGGAAACACTTAGTTAAATTTAGCGTCGGTTTAACGCTTCTTGATGCGTACACAGAGCGCCAGTGTCTTATTCAGACGTAGTATTAATGGACACCAAACTTTTCCGCTTGGATTACTGCCCTGACTGAAGGCTCTCCACCACACAGTATTTTTTTTTTTTTATAACTACAGTTTAATTTAAAAAGGGGCGATTGCTTGTTTGCGCTAACGGTGTCGCGCTTTGTACAGAAAGGCTCGTTCACACCCTTTTGCAATGACTACGACCGATTGAGACAAGATCGAATTTTAAGCGTTTTTGTGACGTCTTACGCCCGGCTGCAGCCGGTCATTAGCCGTCACAAAAAGGCTTACAAACCGGTCTTGTCTCAATCGTTCCTAATCAAAGACGAGCGTACGAACGGGCCTAAAGGCTTAAACAGACAAAACGGGCCCTAAAACACATTTTGCACTGAGAAGGCAATAGAGAGTTTTCAAAAGTGGGCGCCACCTGGTATGTTGCTGCTCCAATAATGCGAATCCGCCATCGGCTGGCCACGTTCTCTGAGCATGTATTGGGCGAAGACTCAGGCTAGTTGGCGCTAGCTACCGCCCGTTACAAAGGGTATAGCCATTAACATCCATCCATTAATCCGGACACGAGGACCGCGTCAGCGTTCGGCAAGGACTGGGATCCAATTACACGTACGCTTTGTGTCCGAGAAATGGTGACCACCAATCGTTGCTTTGATGGGCTTTTGAAAAGGGGTGTATTGTGGGTTAAGCTGTATTCGCGCTGTATTATTGTACGGCTGTCGGTGAAGTCATCCCGGTTCTCCTTGTCTATCGAGTAAACTCTCCGTCGTCCAATTGGGGAGAAAATTCCCGGGAAGCCTGGAAGCCGACATTTCGTTAAGGGGCTCCTGCCTTCCCCAGGGATAAGCCTTTTTAGCGAAGCCGGGAAGCTTCGCCGTGAGACCTCGTAAAGATGCCCGCGGGTTGCTTTAAGCGCCCCTTCTCCAGATCCAGGAGAAACCTCGAGAAGGAAGATTTCGCCTTTAATATCTTTCCTTTCTTTTTTTTTTACGGCTAGTGTGGGTTTTGTTTTCTATTTTTCTTAGCTGTGTACGTCTTCCGATTATGTCTCTTCCTTGTTACTTCATTTTGTTTTGCTGCATGTCAACTCGCAGATGAAGTAAAACAGCCGTTTCACTTCATCTGCGAAACTGTGCTCCGGCACGGGAGTGAGGGCATAACCAACACCACCTCTACTCGTTGTCGCATCGAGAAAAAAGGAACTCCTGCGCATTCATTGTGCGCTGCGCGAAGTAGTTTTTACGAGATTTGGTTTGTCGGAGGAAAACACTATGCTTTCTGGGCCCGTTTGCTCGAAGCTGGTTAACTAACCGCGGTTAACCGGATTTCCCTACGAGGGGGAATTTTAGCTCACGTAAGGACGGCGGGGAAACATGGCGGTGCCCCGGTGAGTGAGCGCCCGCTCGCTTTGGAAGTAATACGTCGTTGTAGCTGCAATATCGGGCGCGTTTGTCAACAATGAATGGTGCAGGAGGCTTTCGATTTACGTTACATCGCTTAAAACGCAAAGCATGATTTCGATTTACGTTACATCGCTTAAAACGCAAAGCACGCAAAGCAATTGCCTAAGCCTTATTGAACGCAAAGCGTTCATTTAGGCTTAGGCAATTCCTAAGCCTAAATGAACGCGATAGTTGTCGGCATGGCAACGTCTTTGGAAAGCGGATTGCCTTGACTCAATCGGCCGGGTACTGATAGCACACAAAAGCAGACAGCGTCCCCATGCACCTTTCGCTAAATTTCCCAAGCACCGAGGTGCACGTTACGATACTCCGTTTCACCTTAATGTTGTACCGCAAAGAAGTCTAGAAGCGGGAGCTCATAGCATTAGGAGCTGCTCTCAACGCACGCGAGCTTGTGCCGCCGAGATGTGCCCTAGAGCAAGGAGCTCGCGCTTTTAGCCTTTCCTGCGGTACATCATGAGGTGAAACAGAGTAGAGTGTAGTTACACGCGCTGCGCGTGCTGGCGTCTGCAGTAGTAAGTATTCTAAAGCAAAAAGCCTACAACAAATTTTGCCGTGCACGCGCGTTCGTCAAAGTTTTATTATGATTATTTACTTCGAATATTCTATAGACAATTGCAAGCATGGCGCCACAAGTGGTGCCCCATGCGTGCAAGCGCGTGCAACGCGCGGGTGAACGTAGCTTTGGCAAGCTCGTAATCGCACGGGCGTGCCTGCTCGAGCAGAGACATGCCGGCGGCCAGTCGCCCAGCTTGCAATCGTCTATAAGTGGAAGGCCAGCGCACGCGGATCGTTGAATTACACTTCCAGTGTTCTCCTCGATGTTCGGGTAATTTACTAATAGGCCAATTTTCACTGGAACCGAATTGGAGGTTTTTTTTCAATTTATGACGGTGTTATATACAGTTCTTACATGCTGGCCAACCATACTGCCGGTGTAACGCCCGTCTTTCACTGCTCACTTCTTTCTCATCGTTTCTAGGACTGAACTTCGTCGTCCACTTTCGAACTTGGAAGGAAATTTCAACGAGGCTTGTCTTCACTTCAGACAGCCAAATATTTAAAAATTTTCCAAACAAGGGTTAATTTAGTTTTACCTTACCGATTACCTGTACCACGAGCAATAAAAATTGTTTCCTGAGCTCAAATGTATGCCGCGCTGTGTCGCGAAAACACGTTAGCGCGCATTTTGGGGTCCCCCCCCCCCCCCCCCCCCCTTTAGGGAACCTCTCCACGGAAGCCACTTATATTCGCTACGGCCAGGTGGTGACACTAGCTACCACCCCAATAATAAAACACGGAGCTATCGCTCATCCAGCCCTCGTCAAACTTGGCTAGGTACTTTTAGGTACCTAGTAGGGAAAGGCGGTTAACTTTTAACCGCGGTTAAAGTTAAACGGCTTCGAGCAAACGGGCCCTGGCGTTTCAAATACGGAGGTCTTGATAACACAACATAAAGCTAATCCAAGATGTGCCTACATACATCTTAATTCAACACATGAAACGGGGAATTAGAACCGTTTCCGGAAAAGCTGGATTTTTTTTTTTTTTTTTTTACTACGGTTATACGTGTTTTGGCCACTTCAACGCGGTGCGAGGCGTCTGCTTAGCGCAGCAGCGACTATGGAGAGAGAGAGAGAGAGAGAGGGAACACCTATTTATTGAGGAGAATCAGAGGAGTTCGCTATTTCCAGAGAATATCAACGAACCTCTTTGCCCTTTTTGGCTGAAGCGCGGCCACTGGATCTAAAGAAAATCCAGCGACTGTGGCTGAAGTAATCATTTGTGAGTGTGGGTGTCTTGACTTTTCTCAACTGCGCATCAAGGTTAAATTATTATTCTAAATTGCAGATTGCGCCGTTTTTCCCATATCCAGCGGAGGCAAAAGATGAAAAAGAAAAGATCAGCTAGAACGTTAGGGAAAGAAACACAGAGAGAAGAAACACTTCATGATTAGCGGCGTGTATGTCTGTTTCTTCTCTCTGTGTTTCTGCCCCAAACGTTCTAGCTGGTCTTTTCTTTTGCATAAATGTACCAGCTAGCTCAACTATAACCCGTTATACAAAATATGTAATTTAGACCTTTTTTTTTACTATTATGCATGAAAATGAACGAAACCGATTAATCGATTAATTAGTCGATTGAAGGGTGTTGATTGATCGACTTAAAATGTTTAATCGACGCCCGCCCCTCGGCGACCATTTGCAAGTACAGGCTGTTGACGCCAAGAGCGACTTTCACTTGCTGTTAGCAATTCAAGAAGTTGGATCGGATAGAAAAAAATAAGGTGGAGCTTTTATACATGATGGATGTATCTCTGAAGCAGAAAGTTGTCGCCGCTGCCATTGCTAATGCAAACATCGGAGCGGTCAGAGATAAATTTGGGGTCATGCATATCAAACAAACAAGGGGCATCTGGAACACCCCGGTAGATAGAGGACTGAAGATTAACTTCGACCAACTGGGCTTATTTTGACGTGCAACCGAAATATCGGATTACACGGCGCCTTTCCGCAACTGATTATTTTTTTTTTTTATTCGCGCGCTTTCTTTTTGTTGCACGGGACGCTTGGGCGCGTGGTGCTCATCCTAGCTAATCCTAGCGCGTGTTCTGTGCGCAGCAACTGGGCTTCAACCCGAACATGAGGGTGAACCTCCGAGACCTGACGGCGCAGTTGGAGGAAGAGCTGAGTCCCACGGCCTTCACCGGGAGCGTGTACGACTTTGCCCTGGCGTCGTACGAACACGAGCTGCAGCACCTCAAGTGAGTGACAAACTTAGTGCCGAGTTCTTGCGCTCTCTTGCGACGAGAGAACATGCTGGCGCCATCTATGAGCTGACCCTGGAACTGCATTTCATTTGAGCGGCGGTTTTCCGGTGTTTTGCGGTATGTAATGTACGTACCGTCTATGAGACACACTCGTTTAAAACATTGGCACGATTTTTTTTTTCAATATAAAAATAAGGATGACGCGCGAGAAGTAAGAAAAGGAAATATAGGGTAATTGCCAGTGTTTCCCGGCCTCCCGGTAGATGGAGCCGACGTGGGCTCCATCTACCGGGAGGCCGGGAAACACTGGCAATTACGTATGAAGTTTTTAAGGAAATGCTGAACCGAAATTTGTATCTCACAAAATAAGGCCGCAGGAGCGTTGAACGGGACGCTACAAACTCCAAAACATCAATGACGCATCGAGATCGCAAACGGATGGGCGTATTTTCGGGAAAGAAGGGCGCGATCAAGTGAGGAATATTGACGTCACGATTATCCTGGAACAGTTGAGAATGAGGGGAAGCGGCCTCGCTTCTCCCTTGCTCGCCTCAGTTCACCTGCTCGAGGGGACGAAGCGAAGAGGAGAAAGGGAATGAGAATCGTGAAGTGAGATGCCTCGTACGCCTTGTTCAATCGTGCACTTCGAAAACGCAGCCATCCGTTAGAGATATCGCTATATGAGTGATGTTTTCGGGTTTTGCATCGTCTCGCTTATTTGCTCCAGCCTTGTTTTCGGAGCTTCGAATTTCGGTTTCGCATTTCTCTGACTGGTTTTAAAGGCACACGGTCGCAGGCAGTCGCAAGTGTGGGGACCAGCCTTTATAGGCACACTGCCATTTGTTCTCTTTGGCGAATCATAAACGTTATGTTTGCACGATGTTTCACTTTGCTAGGGCTACCTATGCGGATCGAAAGTTCCTCTGCCTCTAGAACAGGGGTCGCAATGATGTCAGGACGGCGAGCTCTTACTGGCTGATTGAAAAAAATAGTGGGTAGACCTCGAGGCATCTAGCATTAAGGTCTACCCACTATCCTTCCAATCAAAGCCAATCAAGTTTCCTGCGACAAAATCGCGCCAGATGCGGAGTCCAGATAGAGAACATCCAACACACTTCACACGCTTCGTACCAGCATCTTCCGCACTCCCGCACTCTGAGTGCGGATAAGAATCCAAAATTATTCGCACCCGGGGTGCGAATAGAGACAGCCGATCACAGTACAGTGCCAATCGGTCACTATGGATTCGGCAGTGAACAAGTACAAATTTATTCCGTAAACCCTGAAGGGAAGGAAACACGGACGCAGGACAAAAGCTGAGCTCCGAACACAGCTTCTCGCTCCAGAGTTTACACTGTCAATGTAACTAGCTCGCCTGTATTGTTGCTTTAACGTAGTATTGAAAGGTAACTCACCTGTCGCGATGCGCTTTTGGTTTTCAACAGCCTTCTCTGCTCTCCACTTTGTCTTGGGGTCTTCCCAACACTTCTTTAGCTGAGCCTCGTCCCGCTTCTAGAACCCGTGAGTGCTATTCAACTCCACGGTAAGGGCAGCCCACGCCTCCGCCTTCACCTGGGCCGTCGTCTTGTTTGTGCCCTTACTTTCTATAAGTTTGTATTCCGGCACTAGCTCCGCGAGCAAGGCTTCCTCGTTGTCCGAAAAAAACTTCTTCGGCTTGTACATCGCGTGGCAGATAAACAAAAGGAACTTTAGGAAAAAGAAGATAATGAGAAGTGAAAGATTGAGGATTCCGAGGAACCAGTGCGATCGTGAGAAACCAGTGCTAGCGCGAGGGACCGACAAAGTTCGCTGAAGAGTGAAAAATCCAGGATACCGAGGGACCAGTGCGAGCGCGAAGAACCGACAAAGTGCACTGGAAAGGGACAAATTGAGAATACCGAGGAACCAGTGCGAACGCGAGGAACCAGAGCGAGCGCAAGAGACCGATTTGCTGGTCGTATGTTGCCAGACGAGAATAACGAGGACGCGATGTGGAGTCAAAACAAGCCAAACATGCGTTTGTTTAAATTAAACACTCGCGTTCTCAGCTGCATACAATTCCAAAACACTTTTCACGACAATTGTTTTATAATCTACTTGTTCTACGTACTCATTTCGAGTTCCGACATAAAAATGTACTATTATCTCGACACCGGACACGCTCGGACTTTCTTTATACGACGGCTGTCGTATTAAAACGAGAACGTTTAGTGATGACCCAACGTGACAAAAATACTCGTATAAATACAAAGCTTCCCGAGACAATCTACTGGGCTTTCAATAATTTAGAGTAATTTAAAATAATTCTGTTATACAGCTGTGTCGTGCTCGTATGTCTTGTCCAACAGCATGCCTGGTAGCAGTTCCGTAAATGTTTTACACACATTTCTTGGCTTTATAGGAGGTCGGGGGATTTTTTCAACCCTGCTCCTGCCTTCTTATGGAAAAAAAATAATTATAATAATGTTACATAGTGGGGCCTAATTATTTCTTTATATGCGCAGAAATGTATTAGCATTACAAATAGTTTATACATACGATGTCAACTGGTACTGTGGTATGTACATACAAACCATGTGAGCAGAAAACATTTTTATTTATGATGACATAGTAACTGAAATAATGACACAGTATGATGACATACTGACTGATATGATGCCACAGTGACTGAAAGTCAAACAGTATATATATATATATATATATATATATATATATATATATATATATATATATATTAGTAACTCCGACAGTACGCATCTTTCACTTATATATATATATATATATAGATATATATATATATATATATATATATATATATATATATATATATATATATATATATATATATATATATATATATATATATATAAGTGAAAGATGCGCACTGTCGGAGTTACTAATTCGAAGTTTATTACGACGTTTCGAGCGGGAAGAGCAGTCCCCGCTCGAAACGTCGTAATAAACTTCGAATTAGTAACTCCGACAGTACACATCTTTCACTTATTAACTTTTCCCGGTCCATTGTTTTTATATTTACCTTATTTTACCTATATATATATGTATATAGTAGCGTTTATAGGACATAAATCAATTTTGATCTATACACTCGCACCCGTCTTACAGGCCTTACAGGTATTACAGGTAACGTGTAAGGTACTTCGGGCAGTCAGGGAAAATGCTTGGAACAGCGTCTACATAAAGCACATGCTTCTTTGCAGCGTGCAGGACTCTCCCACTGAACTACGCATGATACCATTTCGATATCAGTTAGTCGGGGAAATGCTTGGCACAAACATGATCACTATGTAGTAACTTGCAATCGGCCCTCGGGATTGCACGACGCCACTGCTCCAGGCGAGCGTCATTCGATGGAGTTTTAAACAAAGACGCCCGCTCTGCACAATTTCGGTACACCGAATTGCAGTTGGGAACGAAGCACGTCTTTCCCAGCCTTATAGCATAACTTGTTCTTTTTCGGGTTAAGGCTCACCTTCGTGCACGATGGTGGCACCTGTGATCGACTGAGCACCAAAGCAAAACACGAGGCCAGCCACTGACCGCACACCGCCCCCACACCACCGCACCGCGAAGAAGGCGAGCACGCCACGCCGCCGACACCGTAGCCGCCGAGGAGGGACCTCATACCTACGGTGTTTATAGCTCAGCGCCGTCCGCGGCGGCGCGGAACTAACTACTCCTGGATCGAGGCTAGCTCCGAACACGATCTGGTCGCTCGCTCCCCGCGGGAAGAGCGCCCAGAGTCATCACCTAAATGTGTTTCTTCCACCGTAATTCAGACAAACCGATTGAGATGCTCTATAAAGTACCTCCGGTTCGGAATGCGAAACCGCCTGAATGTCGCGGTGGTGGACGCGCCAAAATCAAAACGAGTGCAAGAAAGGTGACAATTTTTCGCTTTTAAAATTTCCCTATGATGCTTCTAAACTTGAACAGCTTGCGAGGACTGTACGTGCTGCCGCCAGATAGTTCAGAAGAAAGCCCGCGCATTTATCCTTTGTTTATACTATTGCTTTTGGAAACAAAACCCGACTACCGGGAAATATCTTTTGAAACAAGAAATGGACCGTCAAAATGTATTGATATGACCTAGAAAACTAATAAAATAAACTTTTACTAAAAAAAAATTGCGTCGCGAAGTATTTTTAGTAAGAAGACATATCTCGGGGTCGAGATCTCGAAATAGAATCATGTTTCGGAATCGCTCCTAACACAAAACGAGTGTCGCTATGTTATGATTTTATTTGTAGCCAAGTTTACTAACTTTCGAATATTCGCGTGGATATCTTTGGGTAAAGTATGTGGGTTTTCCCTTGCTGCTACCCGTCCCGGAGAATGACACAAAGCACCGGTTCGTCAAAACGTAATCATTTCTTTAATCTTACCGCTACGCGCCACCATCAAAGGAAGCCCTCACGCATACGCAACGACGGCGTTTTATCAGCGGCGGAGCGCCGCTCGTGTGGGCTAGGGTGCTCTTACGTGGCCGATTGCATTTGGGCCCCCTCGTAATGAATAAGCACAGATGATTTAGCATCCGGGCAACCTGATCCAACGCTTTGGATCCCCAGGTGGCCCACAAGTGGTGTATGTTTGTAAATATGTACCTTTCTCACTTTCCCGCAGTAATACTCTCTGGGCGTTAAGCATATAATGACTGAATGAATTATAAAATATTGCGCTATACGCCTCGCAAGTGGGCTCATTTTCGTCTTCTGCGCATGAGAAAGGAAGTAGCGGTGACGTCAGAACGCCGAGCCCTGATTGGCTGATCGCGACCCCCTATCTCAGCGTCGTCTGCTCCTTTGCAACGTCGTCTGCTCGCAACCTCGTCTGCGTCTCTCTCACCTTTTCTGCGACTTTCGGAAGTGCAGGTCTTTACGAGCGAGCTCGACTTCGGTACGTTGTTTTTGTCTAAGAACTAGCAGACGCGCATCAAGGAGGGAAGTCAAATGACTCACTGGCGAGGTGTCCCGAAGC